AGCAACAGCTTTATGGAGGGGGTGGGCTTCCTTTGAGGCGATGAAAATGTTTGGGAATACACAGAGGTGGCGCTTGCACAACACTATGAACGTGCTAAATGCCACTGACGTTCACCACAATTTTTCAAAAGCCATAAATATATACGAATGAATGAGGTTTTCACGTCTGAGCTTGGGGGGAGAGGCATGGCCATGGGGGCTGAGCCTGGGGGCTCCCGTCCCAGCCACGCCCAGCATCCCCTGTGAGACCTCGGGTAAGTAACGTAACCCCCCCAAGCCTCAGTTTCCCCCTCAGCACAGTGACATAACCACAGAGCCTGCGTCCTAGGGTTGCTGCGACGGGTAAATGAAACAGTCCACGTCAAGTGTCTAGCCCAGCAGCTGGCACAGCCCAGGCCCCAGGGCCTCTGCTCTGGCCCTCTGCCCTGCTGAGTACACCCTTCCCCTGGCCAGGCTGTGGTCCCCTCCCTCGCCTCCCTCAAGTCTCTGCTCAGATGCCATCTTCTGGATGGCATCTTCTCTGACCTCCTGATTTAAACAGGGAACCCTCTCTGCCCCGCGGGTCCATCCCCTCCTCCAGCTCCTTCTCCCCCTGAAACTGGCTTATTTATCCTGCTCAACTCCCGGCTTCTACTTCACTGTCTGCTTGGGAGGCAGAGTTTCTGTCCGTCCTGTTCACTCTGTACCCCAGGAGGGATGCCCGGCCGCTGTGGCTCAGTGGCTGAGCTTCGACCCATGAACCAGGAGGTCACGGTTCGATTCCCGGTCAGGGCACAAGCCGGGGTTGCGGGCTGGATCCCCAGTGGGAGCGTGCAGGAGGCAGCCGATCAATGACTCTGTCATCATTGATGTTTCAACTCTCCCTCTCCCTTCTTCTCTTTGAAATCAATAAAACATATTTAAAGGATAAAATAAGTAAAAACATTTCTGCAGATGAGGATTTAAAAACACTAAAAAACAAATAACTAAGCGTTGAATGAATGGTGTTAGCTAATATCTACGCTCCGATTCGGAGTGTAAACATGCCTCCCTGAAAAAAAAACAACTGTTGTTTTGTTTAGTGAGCTTGAAATGAAAAATTAAACAGAAGTTCCAATTTTAAAACCCACAGTATTTCCAGCTAAGCACTATTCCCCAAGGGGGGAATTTGCAGAAAAGAGATGATTCTCAGTAAACTGATGCTACGGGCTCGAAAACATAAACCACCAAAGTCACCCCGACCTGTAACTGCCCCGTGCGGTGTGACAGCGGTCACCACGAGGCTCTCAGCAGGAGCAAGAACACGGTGCCACCGCAGGAGCCTCGGACCCGCCGAGCACCTCGGGACAGAACCGCCCTCAGGGAGAACTGGGCTCCTCCACCTCACTCGGCAGAGCGGTCGCCCCAGCGGGACTCAGCTTCCCAGGGCTCTCAGGCCTCACAGGGAGAAACCGTGACCCCAAGAACCCAGAGTTCAAAAATGTAAAACAAAAAAACAAAAACAACCCTCAGACTCCTCTAAAAATAGGCCGTCTTTGAGTTAGGTCTCCGCCGAGCCGGCCACATCATTACTCCACGGAGGCTGCAAGTCTCCAAGAGTCTGCGGTTTAAAAAAGAGGACGGAATAAAATCGGCAAGTTTGAGCGAAACCAGAAAGGAGCACCTTCCACCCTGTTGTCAGCAATCTGCCTGCTGGCTGGAACCCAGGGTGGGAGTGGGGGGCCGAGTCAGGAGGCAGCTCATCCACGGGGCTCAAATTTCCCTGAACGTCAGGAGCGCTCAGCTGGCTTGTGAAAATGCTGATTGCTGGGTCTCACCCCAATTTCTGGGGCGGGGCCCTATAATTTGCCTCTCTAACCAGTTCCCAGGGGAAGGGATAGAGAGAGAGAAGCACTGCTCTAGAACAATTATTTCATGTTAGTGTGACACGTGCCTCAACTGCACACAGTACCTGCAAACAGACAGACAGATACACACACACTGGGCCTTACGGAGCCCCTGCCTGACCGCTGGTCCTCAAATAGCCAGACCTGCCTGGCCCAGCAACTATCAACGCACCACTCGGGTTATGGGGACCCGAGAAAGCTGCTCCCACTCAAGTCCTGAGTGAGCCCATCACTGTGAGAGGCTCCAAAGCACACCTGAAACCCTTGAAAGCCAAAGTCACAGCATTTTCCCTTTTTGAAAGCAGTCATGAGCCGTCCCACCCGGCTTCACCCTTCGCACATGGGTAACCCCCAGCTGCTGCAAGATCCGCTTTCTGCCCGGGGATGCTTTCAAATTTCTGAATCAGAAGAAGCAGCTAAAAGAGGAAGCCAAGGAAAAAAAGAAGAAAAAAAAAAGACAGGCCGCTCCAGGAGAGCTACAGCATCCCTGGTGGCTATCCCGTCACCCACTGTGGGCAACTAAAACAGCAGCCTCTCACTCACCAAAGTAATCGGCCTTCGGATGAGCATCCATCTCCCGCTCCAGGCGCTGGGTGAGGGCTTCTAACTTCAGTTCGGCAGTCGAGGGCCCAAGCTCAGGGCCGGGGGTGAGGGTCTGGCAGGGCAGCCTCACTCTGTGGGCGCTGGGGCTCTCCGGGAGCACAGACCCCAGGCTGCCCTCAGACCAGCCAGGGGGACCTTCTTTACAAGATAACTCAAGCGGGGTGGACATCACTGGATGGACACGGCTGGTGGGGCTGAGCCTGGGACCAATGCCAGGGTCTGTGCAGCCAGGCTTGGGACCCAGCCCAGGGGCTGCACCCAGCTGCAAACTGTCCGTGCTGGCTGGCAAAGATGACGGCCCAGAACTAGAAAGGTAAGATTTGGGCCCATCCTGGAACCAGGACTGAGGGTGCACATTTGGTTTGGGCATGGTGCCTGAAACCTCAGTCCCCACCCCCAAGTTTGTTCTTGGAAGAGCTCCTTGACTGGGGCAGCTCGGGGCCAGCGGTGCTGAGAAAGGGGTCCTGGGCTGAGTGCGCGCCAGGAGAGCCCCGTTCTCCCGGCCTGGGGAGGAAAGGCCAGGGCTTACCCACTGGGAGGAGGCAGTGGTCCAAAGACCGGCTGGCTTCTCGCTCCTGAGGCCATCAGCACCACCATCCTGGCAGCTCTCAAATGACCTGCTGGAGCTCAGGGGCAGCTTCGGCTGGTACAGGTGAGGGTCCCTGGAGGGTTTGGGTGGTGATGGGTCACTGCCTGGGGCGCCAGGCCACCCACTCCCTCCACCCAGCCTGATGCTGGAAGACACTCCTGGTTCTTCACGCCACTTTGGGCTTGCCAAGGAGAGATTGTCATAATAGTCTCCATGGGTGAGGCAAGAAGGATCCTCGCAGGGGCTCAGCCCGTGGAAAGCAGACATCTCAGAACTCACTGGGCTCTCCTTGGAACCACAGTCTTGACTACCAGGCCTTGTGCCACGGACATACGGCCTGGCCTTCTGCTCCTGGGGCGGGTACAAGGGCTGCCCAGCAGCGGCGGTGGGGGCGGCTGTCCCAGGAGCTACTGTGGAGGCAGCCAGAGGGGGCTTGGCAGCACCGTCCAGGGCCAGCTTGCTGCCCGCACCAGCTTCCCGGGGGGCCTGTGGGCCTGTGCGGCCCCCACCGTTGACAGGACCCCGGCTAGCCCTGGGCAGGGTCTCCTCTTGCAGGAGCTGCTGCTGCTGCTGCTGAAGGTGGATTTTGGCCATCTTGGTGGCAAACACCCGGCGTGTTTCCTCAAACTCCGGGTTGTTACCTGCACCCTTGTCCACTCGGAAGAGTCCATCCTTGGAAGCCTCATACATGTTCAGGTCCTCGATGAATTTACTGGCCTCCAGGCCCAGGTCGTCGTACTTATCCATGCTGCAGACGTGCGGGGAGGCCTAGGCCAGGTGCCCGGTCCGCAGCGTCTGGGTGTGTTTGGAGAGGGCAGTGGGGGCGATGCTGGCCAAGAACAGGGGGTTCAAGTCCAGCCCCAAACAAGTAAAACCTTCCACCTGCCCAGAGTGAGAGTCATGACCCCCGGCCTTCGAGCTCGGCCCAAGCTGAGGCCTCAAGACCAAGCGGCCCAAGGTGCCTTCCAGCTCCCCTTGCCCTCGGAAGTGTCCACGTGGGGCGGATGGGGCGCTTCCCTGTCCCAGCTTACCGTGCGTTTTCTTTTTCGAATCATAAAAGGAAAAAGAATAGA